TTTTAAGCTATTATGTATAAATATTTATTTGGGAACATCTGGCAATTATTTGAACTAATAAATAGTACGGTATGTTTTATCGTGTTTTCTTCCTTGGTACGTATCAATGTTTGACTTTATAGGCATATATTTCAGGGCTTTTTTTTTCAATAAGAAAAATATAATGTACGAAAGAAATGATTATTTGTAGATCGTGAGATGCGGTCTGGTGTGACAGGTTTAGAAAAACATTTTCTTTATCGTGCCAACGTTTCGATCTTCATTGAGATCATCTTCAGGGCCTGGTTGCCTGATTGTTTATATTGTACAAATATATGTAGTATGTGAAAAATTGAATTTATACAATGCTAGAAATTTTAGACTCAAAGTATTTGTACTCACTCAAAGTGTTTGAGGATTTGAGGACTTTGATTGAGCCTAAAATTTCTATCGTATTATAAATTCATTTTTTCACATCCTACATGTATTTATATCATCCCCTGGACTATAAAAGAAATGTTAGGGAATGAACAGAAAAAAATTGATCAAGTCTTCGTAGTCTAAAGATTTCTAGGTTTTCTAAATCTATATCCAACCAGACCGCATCTCACGATCTTTAAATAAACATTAATTAACCTCACTAAATACACAGTACGAACAAAACAAAGTTTATTCCAAGCAGGAAAACAACAGGTATGCATCTATGCACGACATTGAAACAAATGAGCAAAAAATTATTAGGGGGCCAAGAAAATATAAAATTTATTAAAAAAAAAGATAAATTAAATTTGAGAGAAAAAAAAAACAACGGTGGCCACCGCGGAGAACGCGAGTCTGCTGTAATTTTATTTTAAATTTGTAATTTTTTATAACTAGAATTTATATAAAAAGCAGGTTATTAATGATCGATAAAAATAGTAATTACTAATCTAAAAATAAATCAACGGTATAAATTTTGCTCAGTCTATGAAAAGTCAATAAAATAGTAATCGAATTAAAAAAAAAATCGTTGTTTAAATATCAAGTTTTTATTGGCTTCAAATCGGACAGGGTACTTACTTTGTTGACTGTGAGTTGTTGTCTGTTTGTAACAGTTCCAGTCTGTTTTCTTACATCATTTTTGGCCCCTACCAACTCCACCACCTGACTGGAAGGATCAAGTGGGAGTCAACTTGCGTTTTGTTCCTGTAATTGACCCAGAAGACATCAATTTTCAGACGGTTCTTGCACCATTTTCCGAGGTTTTCCGACGGTTTGCATAATTATTGAGCCTAGTCGAGTTGGAGGAGTTCCGTCGTTTTGGACACTTAAGTACACATAGTATAGATTGAAAATCAATTCTTTACTTAGTTACTCTAAGAAATTTAATTTTTTTAAATGTTTAATGCTTGTAGGGATCTTGTTTGTCAATTTTACCAGGCTGAAAAATTGATTTTTTCCGTTGATTTTTTTGTCTGAAATTTTGACTACCTAATTTTTGAATAAAGTGAAGATAATTTTTGTGTATGTTGTTGAGATGAAAAATTAGTGTCACCCGCTCATGATTTTTCACCTTAACCACACTTTACATAAAATGACAAATCGATTTAAATTGCTCACTAGGACTGCACATACCAATAAAGTAAAGATTGTCGACCAAACAAACATCCAATAGTTTCTCGGAACTGATCAATTTAAGTAATAATGCTAATTTTATACTCACAAATACGTTTCACCTTTTTTCTCTAACTAAGCGAGTCATACAATTTCTTATTTCTTAAGTTACTACTTGTGGGGTTCAAAAATTCCGGGGTAACGATGGGAGTTGAACCCACAACCACGGGTTTCAGAGCTGTTCTATGAAAGGGTTTACCTTTTATCTTGTTACCCGTTCCTTCTTAACTATTCGAAAAATTAATTGACAAATTGACTCTATGAAATTTAATCCACTCCTCATTTCTACAACACCTTACAAGGCTATAATTTGGCTTTCGATCTCATCATCCCATTGCTCGTCAATTTCACATAACCTCGATTTACATGACCTCATGTCTAGACCTGAAATTGTACGCAACTGGAGTGTTTTTATATGTTTCTCAGACCTTCAACAAAGTTTGGCATGACGGAATATTTTACTAAGTAAACTATTTTTACTCCAGTCCAGAGATTGTACGATTATACATCAAGGAGAGATTTTTTGCAGTAGACGAGGGACCAAAGACTTCTTAAATAAAGGAAGTTCCTGCAGGTGTGCCACATGGGTCAATACTCGCTCCACGGTTGTACGCGATTTTTACTTCTGACATGCTCACAAATGAGATAACACCTCGCCACATACGTAGATCACACCGCTTTTAAAAGCTTTCCTTATGTTACAAAGCCACATATCAAATAAAAAATGAAGCAATTTTTGGAAAATAAATTTTAATGTCTTAGCTTAGTCCACACTAGGGTTGCACGTCTTTGTTGGGAACAGCCCCGATTCAATGTTGCTCGTCTGTTTTGGGTGCTGCCCCGAAATAATAAGTCACGTCTACACTACAGAGGCAGTTCCCTAGAAAACGTCCTCGCGGATGTTTCTCTGTCATTGTTATTATCAATTAAAAATAAAAATGAAAGAAAATGGTGGGTCCGAAAATAGTTTAATATCAACAATGACATGTGCCGAGATCTTTTGAATACATTAAGGCTAGAAGACGGAATGGAATTTGTCAACTTTTTAAGGATGAAACCTAAAGATTTTAAAAATCTTTTGCAAATGGTTGCGCCGAAGGTGTTTACAGAAAACACAAAAATTAACACTCGGACACAATGAGAGAAAATAAGAAAGATTGTAGGTTGAGATGGGGAGTTGGTGTCCGAGTGGATCGAAGTCACGATAGCTCAAGTGGTAGAGCTGCGGCGTATTTAGTCGAAGGTCGTGGGTTCGAATCTCGCTCGTGGCACTAGCTTTTTATTTTCGACCAAAACCTTGCATAAAAAGATTAATTAATTGAAAGAAGTAATTTGGTCATTAAACCACTAAATATAATGGATTTAATAATAACTAATGCGACATGTTGAGGCGGTTTGCATAGCTTATTATTTTATAATATCTGGTTCTATACTTGTAGAAGCTATTCTTTACACAGCCTCCAAATGAACACAATTCAGTCTTGATCTTGTATTTTTATTTAAATTGATTAAAGAAAATGTTTGTTCACAAATAAAGTCGGGCTAAATATTTCTAAATACAATTAATTAAGGTTTTTAGTTGAGATAAAAAAGTCAATGGCACGAGCGGGATTCGAACCCACGATCTTCGGCTAGATACGCCGCTGCTCTACCACTTGAGCTATCGTGACCTCGATCCACTCGGACACCAACTTCCCATCTCAACCCCACCTTTTGAATTTTCCCTCCTTTTTGTCATTTTTCAAATGTCGTGTAATCGGATTGGATTCTCGGCGACAAATGAAATGGCCACGGAGAGCTTTAGTGAAGTATTCTTCATTTTAATTCATTAAATTAACCAATTAATATATTACAATTAATTAAGGTTTTTAGTTGAGATAAAAAAGTCAATGGCAATTGAAAAATGGCAAAAAGGAGGGAAAACTCAAAAGGTGGGGTTGAGATAGGAAGTTGGTGTCCGAGTGGATCGAGGTCACGATAGCTCAAGTTGTAGAGCAGCGGCGTATTTAGCCGAAGATCGTGGGTTCGAACCCCGCATATGACACTGACTTTTTTATCTCAACCAAAACCTTAATTAAATGAAATTAAAAATATTTTTATTTCCTCTTGAAGGTCCCACTCACGTCTTAAAACTTTTCCCAAACTTAACCAACGGATTTAATTGTGATATAGTACATCGAAATGACTGGTATTTAGTTCTTCAAATTAGCCATGATATTCTATCGTAGAAAATTCACTAATCTCACAACTAAATTTGTAACATGATCGATTTTTAAAATATTTTTGCGTAGTGCGTGTTGATGAATTGTTTATGGGTATAATTTTATGATTTGGATCGATTTCGAAAATTTGATCTTCAATGAGCCATCTGTTGCAACATTCACCAATTTTTTCCAGTCAACACTGTATTCCCAAAAACACCTTTCATTTTCTCGGAGGAAATCTCCTTTGTTGTGCCTTTCATCGAAACACTTGATAAAAGTATAAATGTGTTAATTCTTAACGGAATAATTTCAAAAATACAGAAGTATCGAGAACACATTCGATTATTTACTAGAATTGTTCGCTGGCCGCATAAATTCATTTCGCAGACCTTATGTTGGCCATGCCTGACAAGACGTACTAATCTCACCTTCTGCTATGTTTATATGGTAGTGTGAATTTCTATCTTGCACAAGGGTACACACACACAAACTAAAAATAACAGACAATATTATCTGCAGACAATTATCTCCTTTTTAATTATCTGTCACTACTTTCTAATGTGGGGTGAAGCAATAAAAAAGGAAAGTAAAAGATTAAAAATAAAATAAAATCCAATGTTCCTTGACTCTGGACTTTATTTATTTAGTTTAAGTTACAAACTTATTTAAGAAGAGATTTGGAATATTTTAAATAAATTCTTGGAGTATTCGTTTTCATTCCTTTGGTGTTTCAGATTAAGTCCTGGGTAGAGACTAAAAGTGGAAAGAATATTGAAGAACGTCCTCCTCTGCTGCCATCAGCACAACTAAAAGCAGAACATTCTTCACCCTCAATGAAAAAGGAATCCAAAGGCCCCATTTATGCTCCGAACGATTTCCAGTGTTTCCACACATCTATCAATAGCACAGTCAAAGACGATGATTCGTTCGACGCGTTTGGAATCAGTGTCGCGAAGCAATTGAGGAAGTTGTCAGAAGAACGAGCGCTTTTGGCTCAGAGCGCAATACAGAATCTTCTAACGGAATACGGTATTCAGGATTTACGCGAAAAAAAGCGCTCCAGACGGTACTGTGACAGCGATTAATCCAATGCACCAACATCATGAGTTCGGTATTTTTTCAGCCTCATTGGCTCAGTGTGAGACGACACCGGAGACATTGTGTTACTGCACTAGATTTTGCTATATATATCTATGATGCAAGCAAAATCCTACAGCACTCGCTACCCACCATTTTGAACACAAACACAATTTCGACTTCAACAATCCAAAAATATTACACACAGAACAAAACAAACATAAACATAATTTTTTAGAAATGGTTTATATCAACAGAGATAAACACAGCATCAATTACAGAACAGATACGTGTAAACTCAGTCGCAGCTACGCCAATATCATTAATCAAATTCAATATAGATAACATATCCAAAATGTAATTGTTATATGTAAACAATGTTTGTAAATCCCAGGCCCTGAAGATGATCTCAATAAAGATCGAAACGTTGGCACGACAAAGAAAATGTTTTCCTGAAACCTACATCACACCAGACCGCATCTCACGATTTATAAATAAATATAGATAACATACATATATCATCACATCACATTCCACACATCAAATATTTTTCACGTAGTCTAATTTTTCAACAATTTAGCTTTTTTTTTCCTATTTATCCCTTTCTATATAATCCTGAAAGGTTAATCTGGCCGAACCATTACCAACGTTTTTTCCCTTCGTCGGCTCTTTTCACCTCAAAGAAGCCGACGCCTTATACAAAAATATCTTTTCTATACCGACTTCCGGGACCGCGGTAGCCGAGTGGTTAGCATGAGAGACTCTCACGCCGCGTTCGTAGGTTCGATTCCCACCGTCGGCTTTGGCCCTTTTTTCCCGATAACCCCCAATTTGAACAACATATATAAGAATTCGTCATGGCTAATATGCAAAGATCATAAGGCAAAAAAAAAAAACGGACTTCCTTCCCCACCCCTTCAAAATCCAATGTATATAAACATAAAACAGCAATACCGCACTGGCACTCTCAACACGACACGCAAGAATGCCACAAATTCACAGAAAACAAACATTGTGGATGAGTAGAAATACTTTGATCGAATAAAAAAAAAAAATATTTTGCATTGTATAAATTCACTTTTTTCCACATCCTACATGTATTTGTTAAATGTAAACAGCGTTTGTAAATCCCAGGCCCTGAAGATGATCTCAATAAAGAATATACATGGGAGAACTACCGTCGACCCGATTTGAACAAGGACGTGCTTTCATCAACGTCGGGGTTGACTTCGCAGACCCATTTTACATACGAGAGTCAAAACGAAGAAAGGCTGTAATAGTAAAAGCATATATTTGTCTATTTGTCTGTATGAGCACCAAGGCAGTCCATTGTGAAGTGGTCACCGATTTGTCCAGCGTCGCTTTCTTGGTTTGCTTAGATCGTTTCCTTGCACGACGCGGTCTACCAAAACGTCTTTTTTTGGATAACGGAACCGACTCGTGGGTGCCCACCGCCAACTTAAAGAACTTCATACATGGTGGAATAGTCAACAAGTCCAGGATCGCTGCGTCAACCATCTCAACAAAAGAGAAATCCATTGGTCATTTAACCCCCCATATACCTCATTTCGGCGGACTTTGGGAAGCGGGTATAAAGGCATTTAAAAGTCACCTTACGCGAGTTTTAGATCAACATCCGCTTACATTTGAGGAACTGAGTACGATCGCTAGTCGAATAGAAGCCCTTCTCAATTCCCGTCCATTACATCCGCTATCTTCTGATCCAGATAACTTCGAAATTCTTACACCAGGACATTTTCTTATAGGCGCTCCTCTATGCTCCAAGCTGGAATGGTACGTTACAGAGATTCCCAGTACGAGGCTCTCCCGATGGGAATTTTTACAGCAATGTACACAATGCCTCTGGAAGAAATGGAGAAAGGATTATCTGTACAACTTACAACAGAGAGGGAAGGGACAAACCCCGAAACCAAAATCGAAAAGGGACGCTGGTCCTACTACGAGACGATAACGCGCCACCGCTACATTGGTCACGAGGACGAGTAACCCACTGCCACCGTGGTCAAGATGGAATAACAAGAGTAGTCAAAGTAAAAAACACCAAAAGGCGTCTATACACGCACATAGGCCACTCTGTCACTCTTACTTCCTGGTTGATGAGCTGGGAATTTTGTAGAAAATTTGGTAGGCGGAATGTTTACGCCTGAATTTAAATTGTATTTTTGTTTTAATTTAAGTTAGAGTTTGTTTGGTCTCGTTGCCACGAGGAACGAATGTTTATGCCGTTGCTATGGGAACCAAATGTTACGCTTTCGAAACAATGAAGCAATAATTCAAATCAGTGCATAGTATTTCCTCCTATTGCATAGAACACCACTTGCATTCGAAGAGGTATCAATTTTATTAGGTTTAGAATGTAGTGCTGTGGAATATTTTCATATGCCTCTGACAGAGCCATTCTTAATTCCTGCAAATACTCTGGCATCTCTCGGCGACTTTTTATCCTACGATATTCATCCCAAAGGGTTCAATAGGGTTAAAGTTGGGACTACACGCTGGCCACACCAAACGACGAATGAAGCCTGTTCTAAGTCATCAGTAACGACCTTCCTGGGGCCTTGCGTTGTCATGCATAAAAATAGTAAGAATTGACTTCTGATAGCACATCTTCAATGTATCGCACAGCTGTTAGGGAACCCTCGATGAAGATCAAGTTTGGCTACCTTCTATAGAAAGATCTGCTCAAACCATATCACCACCACCTCAATAAGTTTTTTTTCTGGCTTCTCTGGAAAGAAACTGTTGTGGGGATCACTCTCCTGTTCTTCTCATAACCTTCTCTTGAACGTCAGAAGACCTCAAACAAAACCTTGATTCACCTGAAAACAAAATTTTAGTCCAAACATGCTAAGACCAATTTCCTCCAAATCTTAACCGAGTGTTCTGTGCCTTGTCAGAAGTTCTGGACCTGTGGCAGGCTGCCTCGCACAAAAGCCAGCTTTTAAAAGTCGTCGCCTTACAATGTGTAAATTGACATTAACATTTCTAATGTCGATTATGGAGTACATTCAAAACAATACAAATGTCATCTCTCTGAGATGTGAAACGATGGCGTCCTGATCCGTGCCATCTTGAGTAACATCCATCCAGTACCTTGGTAGCGATGGAAGGGCTCATAGGCCCCTTTATTGATAGGTTGTAGTTAAAAGAATAAAAAAATTAACTTCACTAATTTCGTGGTCCACTTGACCAATTAATACATTACAATTAATTAAGGTTTTTAGTTGAGATGAAAAAAAGTTAATGGCACGAGAGGGATTCGAACCCACGACCTTCGGCTTGATACGCCGCTGCTCTACCACCTGAGCTATCGTGACCTCGATCCACTCAAAAAATGGCAAAAATGGCAAAAGGAGGGAAAACTAATAAGGTGGGGTTGAGATTGGGAGTTGATGTCCGAGTGGATCGAGGTCACGATAGCTCAGGTGGTAGAGCAGCGGCGTATCAAGCCGAAGGTCGTGGGTTCAAATCCCTCTCATGCCATTAACTTTTTTTCATCTCAACTAAAAACCTTAATTAATTGTAAAAAAATTAACTTTAAACGAATCAACAATAGGCCACCCCACCACAAATGAATCATTTAGTTTCCGTTGTTTGCCATACATTGGTGGAAAAAGTTAGTAAAATTTTTAAACAAGAAGGTTTTAGAATAGCTTTTAGAAGTATGGGTTCACTTAAAAACATCCTCTCAAAACCAAGATACAAGGTAGACAATTGGCAAAAAGTGGGGTTTACCAACTCAATTGTAATGATTGTGATATTAAATATATGGGACAAAGCGGTAGAGAAATAAAAATGAAAGTAAAAGAACACTTGCCTAAATCTAGCAAATTTTCGGAATTTAAGGACCATCTAAAAGAAACAAAACATAATTTCAATTCAAATTTAAATACAAGAGTGTTACATAGTGTCAACAAAGGGAAAAAACTAGCTTGGTTTGAGAAATTTGAATTTAAAAAATGTAAAATTGAACATGGTGATAAATGCATTAATAATATAACAGATTTTGATCTACCTCCCATTTTAAACATGTACATTAATAATACCAAACGTCCAAATAATTAAATTAATTATTTTAAATGTTATTATTTTTATAGTAATTTAATAATATTAAGTATTTACTATTATAATATTTATTTGTGTTATAATTTCTGCGTTTCGCACGTTCAAATTGAGCGCCATTAAAAAATCAGCTGTTAATTGGAATGTCGCGTTGGCGGGGTATCAGAGGGTTCACTTTTGCATTCATGTCGAGAGACGTGGTTGTAAAAACCCTTCAACCTGACGATGAGCTAAAGGGCTCGAAATCCGGATCGTTGCAAGGCAACTTACTGTGAGTAGGAACTATCTTTTTAAAAAGGATGGAAGGGCCCTTCCAACAATGCTGTTATTTTAGATCTGATCAGTTAAAACCATCACTTACACAAATTTGAAACTTAAATATGGTGCAACTTAAAATAATCAAAACCAGAACCATAGTGAGTATAAAAAAACCAAAAAGGAGAGATTGACTATTCACTCTAAAATCCAATTGTAAACACAAGTGGGAGATTTTATCTGTATTTTATTTACCTCTAATCCCTTAAAACAGACGATATATTATTGTAAGATAATTAATGGAGAGAATCTAAGAGATAATTAAAAATATTAAGGGTGGCCATTTTTCCCCCTCTCAGTATACAAGATTGTTGGTGCAAACAATGTGGTATTTGTCTTTACTAAAAAAACGGAATATCCAAATTCAAAAAAAGTTTTAGTTAAATTGTGAAATTTACTCTTGTGGTCTGTGGGGTGATGAACCTGTCAAATATGTTTGGGCATTCAGTGTGTCTGGATAGATCAAGGTGATCAGTAAGGATCAGTAAATAAGTCAATATATTATATTTTTCTGTAATATAAAGTACATGTAATAATTAGACCCAAAACTTGCAAAAAATGTAATATACTTTATACACAATGGGTAAACCAGTTGTGTCTTATGATGGTTAGAAACTTGCCTAGATTTCTAGTGGCTGGGAGGCTGTCTGGCAACTGCTGGCATCTATTGAAAATAGAAATAAGCATTGAACTTGTCTGCATTGTGGCGCTTTGCAAGACAGATTCCGTTGTAAGCTACTGTATACAGTTCTGCAACTGATGAATATTTGTTTATGTACATATGTATATTTTTGCAGACTTTAACATTTCAACACATACATTTGCTGATCATACAGCGATTCTTTCACGTAATTCAGACCCCTCAGCACAACATCTGACTGAATTAACAGGTATGGTTCACAAAGTGGAAAATGAAAATAAACCTAACAAAAAGCACACAGATAAATTTTTTACCCTGCGCAAAAGTATCTGTCCCTCAACTTGGACTTTTCTTGGATAACAACTGACTTGGAATCCCCACACAAGACTGAAAAGGCAAGAAACAAACGGACATTATAAATTATTAAAACGATAAGGGCGTACGGTTGGGAAGTGTGGGGTTCAACCAAAGATTCAAATTACAATTAATCCAAAATTACAATTAAAATGAAAAGTTATATCCAATTAAATTTAAAAACAAATGATTCTTTCAGTATTAAATCGAGATTGTTATAAAATAATTATATCTTTTTAAAAATCTAGAATTAATAAAAAAAACATCTATTTTTATTATAATCACCCTGATTAAATTATTATTTTTAAATCGGAAGAACAATTTCTCTTGAAACAATGACGCTATCAAAAAAACAAAAAGTAGGCGTTTAATATTTTTTTAGTCTAGTTTCAAAATGTTACCTTTTTTTGGAGAAAAATTATACAGGGTACCTCAGGCCCAGTTCAACTTCAAAATTTCAATTACGACCCTAACATCCTGACTCATCCTTTGCACAATTGTGTAATTGAATTCTAAATTGGCTAAAAAACTACAAAGTTATGGCAAAAAGTTTGAAAAAACAACAGTCATTTGGTTTGCTACTTATTAATCACATTCCATGTTCGAAATGCCTGCCTTGCGAAAAGGCGCAAAGATTCGCCCTTTTTAACAACTCTTCACCGGTGCTCAGAGGGGTAGAGTCAGGGGAGATGGATTGAAGCATTTTTCCATCCTCCGGCGCAGTTCTTCAACTAGGTTGCTGGATTATGATTGGCGTAGACACTATTTTTTAATAGAACTCACAGAAAATAATTTAGTAGAGTTAACTCGGGTGACCGAGGAGGCCAACAGATCAAGCCATGATGTCCCCTGAAGTGACCATTCAAATAACGTCTTACCTGCGAATAATTGCCTGCGGGGCATCCATCAAGCGGGAGAATCATTCTTTGTCGTTGTTGCAGAGGTACATCATCTAATACTGTTGGTAAAACATCCCTTAAAAAATTGAGGAACTGTGCACCATTTAAAAGATTTTCGTAGAAATAAAGCCCAATTAATTTATTTTCGAGAAGCCCACACCAAACGTTGATACTGTGAACCACCTGATGATGACAAGAGTACGAAATTCTCTGATTTTCCTCTGCACACGTTCGAAAACTTGAGGACTTTAATTCGTACCTATTCATCAGCCCATAGGATGTATGGCAGAACGTTTTCTTCAGCCTCCTAAAACGACAAAAAAAAACCTTAGACGCCTGTCATAATCAGAGTCCCGAAGTCCCTAGTCGAGATGAGAGCGATACGAATTAAAATGGATTTAGTCAGGAGTACATCTCTAATTTTCTTTTTCTAAAAACCTAAAACTCTTCCAATATTTCGGAGAGAGGAATTCGGATTTTCGCGACCATACAGTAAAATGTTCAGCTCCTCGCCGAAATTACGCTGCCAGTTTCATGGTGATGGAACGGCAAATCCTCCTCATATTGGGAGCAACACGAATAAAAGTTTCTGGTTTACTCTGAGGCGATCAGGAAATATTTTGGAGTTCAACTCGATTGCAGGACGCGCAATACCACCACTACCAACAAAGCAGTTGTGCATATCAAATCAATGTTGATCGGAAAAATGTGCTCTTTGGTTCATTTTGATGGAATACTGAAATTAACGAATAGGTACTATTGTCAAATTTATTTATTTCCAGGAATTAAGATTTGCTCTCATAATGCGAGTTTGACAAACAATGACAGAATATAAAGAATAAAGGCAATTAATATTTACTTTAGTGAAGAAGCAAAATATTGGAATTATCAACGAACCAAACGAAATGCGTTTTTCCAAAATTTTTGCCATAACTTTGTCATTTTTTGACCAATTTAAAAATCCAATTGCACCATTGTTTTGAATGTAAACAATCCTTTAAAATGATCTGTCAGAATGTATAGGATCGTATTTGAAATTTTGAAGTTGAATTGAGGCTGAGGTACCCTGTATAATTTTTCTCAAAAAAAGGTAAAAAATTTGAAACTAGACTAAATAATATAAAACGTGTATTTTGTCTTGATGATCTTGATTGGTTCAAGAGAAATGTATCCGGGCCATATAAAAAGGACACCCTATTTTCAATTAAGTTTATACATTGATGTATCGTTGGTTGTTCCACGCTTCCTCACCCCAATGAGTCAGACACCTGACAAAATGCATTGAACTCTCCACCAGCTTCATCAATTTTTCATCACTTACTTAAATCTGTATTATTTTCAACATTATTGTTAGATTTTTAGAATTGGATTTGTATAAGCTCAAATCTCCACATGTATGTCCATATACATACATATGTAAAGTCGAGCCTGTCACTCCTCACAGTACTCCGACAATTTGAGCTTATGCAATTCACAATAAATTACCGGTTGGCCTCGAGGATCACCTTCTTCGGGTGTTGCAGTCCGGGCGCAGACGTCGGTCTTAGCACCCCGGCTGGTTGGGCTCCGGGTGCTGTCAACAGCTAGATCAATTTAGCAGCCAATGCATGCAGTTCCTTGATCCAAACCCATTCATACTGTCACTCATTCTTCTCTACTCAGAGGGTTGCTAGGCTAATAAATACATTCACTCTCAACACAAGCTAGGGACACAAACCTATCAGTGTTGTATACAATAAAACATCCTGTTTTTTCCAAGATCCCAAATACTCGCTGCGTGCTCATTCTCATATCGGGTGGCATTCCTACACGCTCTCTATATGGAGCCAACGAATTGCACCCCTCAATCAATTATTGTTATATTCCAAATTATTAAGGACTTGAACCATGATATGTCTGAAGAAAAAATTTGTCAAATCCATGTTTTGTTTCATCTGTCTTGCAAGTTTGGCCTGGCGAAAACTGACTTATGGTGGAATCGAGTGGAAATCCGACGAAACGAGTGGTGGTTAAGGAAGCCTGACAATTAAGTCAAAGTCATTCCTTGGAGATTCCTCCAAATAAACAACGTGATATAGCCTAGACGAGACGAACCAGACGGATTATTTTTGTAAAGATATTTATTACCTTCTATCTGATAATTCGTGATGCTTCTTCATTATAATACAATTACAATGCCGCGTAATAATAATCAGGAAGTTCTAATGCACCTACAAGTCAGTCACATCTGCTGATGGCACTTTTTGTTGTGGGGGGATACAAGTCCTCCAGCGTTGTAACATGGTGATTTCATGGAGGAAAACGTAGCCATTTATTAAGATTTATTAAGATATTCTCGATGTAAGCGAGTAGTCGGGGAGGAAAAAGTTTGGATTGAGTGTCATCATAAGTTATAAACGATTCCTCTTTAATCTCAATATAAAAAGAAAAATTGTTGTCTTTGGATTGAGTCTCACATAGTTAATGGAGGTTCATTTGTGCTTTCCCCACTAACTGCATTGTTATACAGATTCCAATTTTTATCCCCGTCTTCTACAAATGATCGTTATCTCGGTGCTTTGAAAGCGAATCGCAAATAGAAATGCATAACTACATCTCAAAGGAAGTCGTGGCATTTCTTTGTTTATTCGAAAGAAAAACAAAAAGAAAGTATTTTCCTTTTACGAAAATGAAACTGAATCGAAAGAATTGGCCTGATACGGGTTAACTTTACAGCGAAAATTAAGCTTAATTAAGACGATTGGTACGATACGACCACAAACAATACGAAGCACTAAAGATACCTTTCAATGCACATTCATGTTTCTCTAAAAGTAAATGATATTATTGGGTTGTCCGGAAAATAATGCAGGATTTTAAGTTTTCATTAAAAAAAATCTATATAAAATATTCTGTTTACGTTTACAGGATTACTCATTTGTATGAATGTCAACACTTATTAATCCTCTTCCAAATGATATTGTTTGTTTACCTCTGTAGCATTCCGCTACTTGGAAATAATTCAGTCATCCTTATAATGTCAAAGCGAGAATTTCGTACGATTTTCTTTTACGAGTTTAAACTCGGCCGAAGCGGAGCCCAAACGGCTAGAAACATTAACCAAGTCTGGGGCGAGGGTTGTGTTAATGAGTGCACTGTGCAAAGGTGGTTTAAAAAATTTCGGGAGGGAGATTTCAGCCTTGAAGATGAAGAAGGTCGTGGAAGGCCTTCCTCTCTTAATGATGATGTTCTGCGATCAGTGGTGGAAGAAAACCACAAAACAACTGTTCGAGAACTTGCAGAGCAACTCAAAGTCAGTAAAACGACCGTCGCTGACCACCTCAAGGCGATTGGAAAAGTGAAAAAACTCGAAAATTGGGTTCCACACTCATTAAACGATCGCCAAAAAAATCAGCGCTTTGATGTTTGTGCATCACTTCTTTGTCGAAACAAAAATGACCCATTTCTGGCCAGAATTGTTACGTGTGACGAAAAGTGGATTCTCTACGATAACACTAGACGTTCTGGACAGTGGCTCGACAAAGGAGAAGCTCCAATACATTTTCCAAAGCCCCCAACTCATCAAAAAAAGGTAATGGTTACGGTATGGTGGGCTTCATTTGGTTTAATACACTACAGCTTCTTAAATCCTGGCGAAACCATCAATGCTGAATCATACTGTAACCAAATTAATACCATGCATCAGAAATTGGCAGTAATGAAGCCCTCTTTGGTCAATCGGAAAGGGCCCATTTTGTTGCATGACAACGCTCGACCACATGTGTCACGTGTAACGTCACAAAAATTATTGGAGCTTGGCTATGAAACTTTGCCTCACCCACCCTACTCTCCGGACCTCTCGCCTACTGACTACCATTTTTTTAGACACCTGGACCACTACTTACAACACATAATATTCAAAAATCAAACGGAACTGGAAAATGCATTTATTGACTTTATCAATTCTAAAAATTCTGAATTCTACTCAGACGGAATTAATAAGTTACCAACACGTTGGGAGAAATGTATTGAGAGTATGGGAAATTATTTTGATTAAAGAACATTGCTTTAAAGTAACTAGTTTCTTTTTTTTTGTTTAATACCAAAATCCTGCATTATTTTCCGGACAACCCAATATAAAACAATAGTTCTCCAATTAGAATATATGCTAGATGGCAGCATCTTATAATTTCGTTCTTGTTTTAGAACCAAAAATAACTCCTATATTATCCTGTTTCCAAAATCCGGTAAAACCTCAATGCTTCTTCCTGCCCTTAAATCAGTTTACTCCCCCTCTTCTCAAAAGTCTTCAAGAAGATCCTCTTCGAACGATTAATCACGATACTCAACTTCTCTAACCTTCTCCTAGATTATAGTTGGGCTTCCGACCTTAACACTTCCAAACCTAGAAAGTTTTTCGAGTTGTGGACCGCATATCCTCATCCTACGAGCGCATAGAATACTGTATGGGGAGCCTTTCTTGATGTGTTTGACCGCGTGTGACATGAGGGGCTCTTGTACCTTCTAAATACCCTCTACCTAATACTTCGTTCCGATTTGATAGTTCGCTTAGGATCTACCTACTCCGATTACTGTCCTCTGGGAGTGGGAGCACTTCAGGGCAGCCTACTTTGACCGATTCTTTGCTTCCTATACACTGCAGATATCCCAACTTCACCCTCCACCTCCTTGCATCTTTTGCTGACGACACAGCAGTGCTATCCTCTGATCCCGATCCAAGGAGGATCCCCTGGCATAGACGTATCCTGCAAATAGCTGAATGGAGCGAACCTGGCGTATAAATCTTAATGAAAGAAAAATCATCCATGTAACACTTTTCGAAGCACAACCCCTCATACAATATTCTTCAATAATACTCCTATCCAAAAAGCAGACTGCGTCCGCCCCATTGGATCCCATCTTGACTCAGGACTAACATGGCATTAGACAAACATTTCGGATTACTGTACAGATAATTGACACGCAAATCTACCGTTCCGACAAAAAACAGACAATCTTAAGACAATATTAAAACCGTACGGACGTACGGACTAAAACTGTGGTACCGATAAAGCTTGCAACATCCAAAGAATACAGTCCTTTCAATCCAAAGTCCTCAGGATCATAGGCAATGCTCCTTACTACATCTTCAACTAGATTCTTCATAATGAATTCGAAATCCCTTCTCAAAACAACCGAGTACTAAACGAGGATTAGTTTAGATGGGAAAACAACAATAATGTTAACTGCCCTTAAGTTAGAGATTGTGATAAATATATTTAAAAACAAATAAGGTTAACAAACATGAACATCTACATTCAGTGCTGAAACGTATGAAGTGAAATTTCGAGGTGATAATAGAACGAGATCTAACACGCCCAGGTTAAAGAAGACATGGATTAGAATGTGGCAATTTTATAACCCTGGTTTTCAGATCTGGAAAATTCACACCACGGCCGTTGGATGGGTCAATGAGAACTCCATAGCTGCCACCGAAGCTGCCATGTATGTATTAATATGGAACCAAGTTAAACCTGACTATCACTTAGCTCATGATTATTTCATTTTTCCATGATATTAAGTTTTGTGTTTCACCTTTCTGATGTACCAATTTTAGACAATGAAGTTCTTCAACATGCGCATCTGGTACATGGCTTTATCACACGTTTAGTTTCTCCAGATAGGAGAGTCCTATCCGCTCATGGTAGATAGTGTGAACACCGTGAGGTTCGGTGTAGAAGCCACCACATCCACAGACTAATCAAACAGCCGACTTCTCCCGCTTGCCTCGTCCGAAGGGGTGAGTCAAAATTGTGCACTTAACCGTGTGCCGCGCATAAAGGAATACCCAAAGGGGGTGAAATGCATCAGCCGGTCTCCCAACGCGCTCCCTATATAAAGACGACAGCTCTATCTCCCTGAGTGTAAGAGCCTAGGCAGCGTCGAAACTACCGGGTCCACTTAGGCCGCGGTTTTAGTTAAAGTGGAATTTCTAAACACCCCCTAGAGGTTCCTACCTTCGGTACCGAACAACAGGCTCTTCCCTAAGACCCGCCAGGGGTCTCACCTATGGCCAACGAGGGCTTGGAACTGAAGACACTGTATATCCCGTCGTACAGGTTATGCAGACAGGATCTGTACCCTAACGGCCTACCGACGTGTGCCGCTGAACTAGCACCCCCCCGTCCGCAGCTAGCACGCAAGCCAACAACTCCATTAATGCATTTCGAGGGACAGGGGAGGCGTAGTCTTTGCATCCTCGCATGCTATGCTTCCTTCGTCCTATCTTCCATATGCACGTGGAAGATGCTCAAGGAGATCATGTGCAGAAAAGTTGTATTCGTAACTTGTGCTTTAGGGAGTGCATCACGTTCTCAAGGCTATATAATTATTTTGTGCCTGGAAACCCCTCTTGCAACCAAGGGTTGGGAAGGGTCAGTTGGACTCTCCTTGGAGCACCCATTGCACAGTCTCGGTAATTGGTTACCTGGGCATGCCAAGGCCCAAGCTCTCTTTGGTCCTTGATTTGCTCTTATATCGAGATATTGTTATCATGAAGTATCGTAGCTTATCTTATCGCTAGGTTTATTGAAAAGATGAGTATGATGTTGGTTAGGAACAATTGGCCATATGGGTAAGTTTATTTTTAGTTGTACTTAGCTATTTTATTTTTATATCATAGGAGGCGAATCTTCTCTAATGTTCAAAAATGCTTCTGTTGAAGAAGAAACAAACGAAGTGTTTGGCTGACCTGAAGATCAAGATACCAATCGGGAATTAACAATATGTCATCGGATTTGTTCTCATATCTTTAGGGTACCCGATAGGTCTCACGCTGATAATTTCTCACATTAATAAATTGCCAGGGGCAAAGCAGAACAGCAGTTTATTTACTTACACGTTCGAAAAAGCAATTCGAAAACGGACTCTAATTCCGGTGTACAAATTGCGTAATAAGTGAAATTCCAATTTTTTGCCTATCAGATGAAAGGTGGAAGGATTGTCTGGAGAGAAGAGCCGACCCGTCATGCACGATGACAACCCGCATGAGCACACACAATGGATTTTAGACACAGACAATGACTGCTCATAAACAATGTTCTATATAATCCGGATCGCCAGGAGGAAGGAAGCAGTCCTTACGTCTAACCTCAAGTGCAAACATGTTTTTGGTGAGTGTCCGTCTTTGTTATGTTGAACATGAGTGGACTGTAATACTCGAGATGTAAATAATATTAACTTTATTCATTTTTACTCTTTTATCTATTGTCTTATCACATAAAATTCTTTTAAAAAAATCTCTAAATTTGATGAATTCTAATAATATTCTAAGTTTCCAAATTTCTTGTATAAAATTCGAGTAAGATTGTCTTGGTTCTGCAAATACTGGCAGACATATCGCTTAAAGAAAAGCTGGCCTAATTTATGCTTAAAAAATAACGTTTATCTGCTAAAAATTTAATTTTTCGGTTACAGTTAAAAAAAAAAACACTACGATTCTGAAATTTCTGTAAAAATATTATTAAACAAAATGTCTATGTTACAAATTTGAATTTTAGATAAAAAAAAGCTTCTCACTATTAACTTAATTGTTCAAAATTTCCACCTTCTTGAAGAATACAAATTTGACATCGTTTTCTGACATATTTTACTGCAGTTTGAATAGGTTTTCAATGCACTTTTTCTTGGTGTAATCAAATTTACAGTAGGATTGACATTTTATATGGAACGGGGCTAAAATTCAACATCAGATTACTCGTGTTACAAACTTTGCCAGTAGATTCCAATTTCAAAAAGGAATATAAAAAGTAACTAAAAAGTCCTAAATAACTATGGTCCGAATCTCAACAGATTCGGAGTTATTTCACTTTTTCTGATTTTTTAAGATTTCACGACCTTGCTTCAAATGATAACTCCAATACTAAAATGTTTTGGACAAATCCGTTGATATCATTGAAAACTACGTTAAAATTCCAATAAGTTTTAATAGCGAGAAACTTGAAAAATATTTTTTTTTTCAAAAATGAAAAACTTTCTATGGTGCTTTTAAACTACTATTTATAAACCAAAAGACCAGGAAATATAAGAAAATCCAAAATCTCACAAAAAAAAACAAACAAAAACCTGGGGAAAGTTTCAGGACAAAACAATCTTAAATTTGTCTACAGATTTACAAATTTAAGTTTTTTTTTTTCACTATTACTGAGAGTTCTTGGCAATGTTAAGACAAAGTCGGTCTTCCAGGAAATTTAAGATCGCCTGAAGAAAACTTAAATATGTCAATCTGTAGACATATTTAATATTGTTTTGTACGGATGATGAACTTTCCTTAGGTTTTTTTTGAAATATTGGATTTTCTTATATTTACTGGTCTTTTGGTTTGTAAATAGTAGTTTAAAAGTACCATAGTAAGTTTTTCATTTTTGAAAAAAAATTTTTTTTTCAAAGTTCTCGCTATTAAAACTCTTACTGGAAATTTATCGTAGTTTTCATTAATATCAACGGATTTGTCCACAACATTTTAGTTTTGCAATTATCATTGTTTATTTGAAGCAAGTTCGTGAAATCTTAAAAAATCAGAAAAAGTGAAATAACTCCGAATGTGTTGAGATTGACCTTTCCCCATTGTCTTGAAGATTTTGGATGCATTTACTGACTAATTTAATGAGACTTTTTCACATAATAATACTGATAATTCTTTGTTAAAAAATAAATATATTTTTTAAAAAATTGCGTTGTTATACACAATGAACCATTTGGCTTTTAAGTTTTCTACTTTCTTTAGAATAGTAAATCTCTCGAGAAAACGACGTGGAGAAATCCTACGTGTCAAATTGGACAGAGAAGTCCTATTGTTCAACTTTTAACGTATTAATATAACCGTAAACTTGATTAATTTCTTGATGGAAAGAGCATTGAAAACCCTGTGAGGTTCATTTTTTGCTGTAACCTTAACGAAAACACAAACATTTACAAGATAAACCCTTAAAGAAAAAACTTCATAAAGGAAACGAACCTTCAAGAAAGTTAATTTTACAATGGTTAGGACTTTTGAGAAATTAAGTAAATGTGCTTAAAGGAGCAACCTTTCTGCTTTTAGTTACAGAACCAAGAAAATCTTACTTAAACTTTAGATGAGAATTTTGGAAGCTCGTAAAAGTTTATCTTCTTAATGATTTTATATTTTCTTTGTTTAAGATTATAATAAAAACAAAAATGAATCTCATCGAGGATTTTTATTGCTCCTTTTATTGGTGTAATAAAATTTACGGTAGGATTAAGTTTATGAAATACAAGGGACTTTATGAAATAATGTTGTGAAAGGTTAAGTAACATAAAAAGTGAAATACCTCGCATACAATTGTGAATGAGACTTTGGCCAATAGGGACGTTTTAGCCCAATTTGACAAGTAGGACAACCTTCTGAAGTATTGACATCTGTTTACGTGACAATCTGCATACAATAAGAGCATACAACAACTGTGTGTCCTATCTTATTTGTTTTAGTATATTGCATATTAAACGTTACTTCAATTTACTAAATAAAATCAGAAATATAAAAAAATATCCATTATATTTAGTGGTCTATTGACCAAATTACTTCTTTCAATTAATTAATCATTTTATGTATGGTTTTGGTTGAAATGAAACAGTCAGTTCACGAGGGAGATTCGAACCCACGACCCGGCTACTGAGCCGAAGGTCGTGGATTCGAATGCCCCTCGTCACACTGACTTTTTCATTCCAACCAAAACCTTACATAAAAAGGTTGATTAATAAAAAAATACATTAGAAAAATCACGAAGTCAATTTGTCGATTTTTCAAGAGCTTTATTGTTATAAATTAATTATAATAAAAACAAAAACACACACAAAGTTCTTGTCGTTTTGTGAACTCGTAAAAGTTTATGTTTTGACTGATTTTATGTATAATTTGCTTAAGGTTACATAAAAAACACAAATGAACCTCATGGGTTTTTTTAATACTCTTTCTATTGATGTAATAACATTTACAGTGGGTTAACATTTCAAGAGTCTTTATGGTTGTGAAAGCTTGAAGTAGTCTGAAAAGTAAAATATCTCGAATACAATTCAGACTGGACCATAGTGACTTTTTAGTCCAATTTGACATCTAGGATAACCTCCTGAAGTATTGACGTCTGTGCACACTGTGTATATACCGGAAATAAAAAAAAAATAATAAAAAATGTATTAAATTCACTAATTTCGTGGTCCGCTTGACCAATTAATATATTACAATCAATTAAGGTTTTTAGTTGAGATAAAAAAGTCAATGGCACGAGCGGGATTCGAACCCACGATCTTCGGCTAGATACGCCGCTGCTCTACCACTTGAGCTATCGTGACCTCGACCCACTCGGACACTAACTTCCCATCTCATCGCTTGGTCAAGCGGACCACGAAATTAGTGAATTTAATGAATTAAAATGAAGAATACTTCACTAAAGCTCTCCGTGGCCATTTCATTTGTCGCCGAGAATCCAATCCGATTACACGACATTTGAAAAATGGCAAAAAGGAGAGAAAATTCAAAAGGTGAGGTTGAGATGGGAAGGTAGTGTCCGAGTGGGTCGAGGTCACGATAGCTCAAGTGGTAGAGCAGCGGCCTATCTAGCCGAAGATCGTGGGTTCGAATCCCGCTCGTGCATTGACTTTTTTATCTCAACTAAAAACCTTAATTGATTGTAATAAAAAATTTGTTGATTAGGAACCGCCTACCAGCGCGTAATTGTTTTTGTCCCTCGAGTGATGTTATTACTTAATATAAAATTGTCGGTTCCGACTGCTAGTTCGATGTTCGGACTTTTACGTCTTCGGCTACAATGCTTTAAAGGAACTGGGTATTTTCATTATACATAACACGATTTATCACGATGATCATTGATTCTAAAGATGAAATTAGAATTCGGGTTGTGGTCTTCAACCCGAATCCTAAACAACATCGTACTGAAGGCTGGTTGATCCCATAGCAAACATTAAAGGTGAAATGTTTGAATTTTTTTTGCAGACAAGCAGTGTAGGAACAATATCGGTGTGGCTGTTATTATGGATGAATGCGGTCAAATGTGAGGAAAATGCCGCAAATGCTGCTACCGTACCCGACTGCAAAAACGGAACATGCGTCAACACCACATTCACACCTCCTCCGGCCAGTTCGATGTCGAGGCTGCTCCCGTCTGCGGCCGTTTTGAGCAACGACACGAAAGAAACGTCTGCTTCTTTCGTAGACATAATTACAACTCCGGAGACGGACGCGTCGTTGGGCCTCTCGGCGTTTTCCCAATTCGCTCAAACTTCAGATCACGCGAGCTTCAACCCGAGCCCTTTCTTGGGGGTGATACACGACAAAGGGTTTCCCAGGGGGGTGGCCGTGGGGGAGGTCTTTCCGGACACGGTGGGCGAAAAGCATCTCTACCAGAACAAATACCTCCTGCACCACAAAGGCTACCACCACGTGGAGGGTCTGAAACACAGGCCGGACCCTTTTGCGCAGATACTGACTAATCACGAGGCCAAACCGACGCCGGAAACGGTGGTGAAAAGTACCTATCCGCCTATTTACAAGACGGAGTTTCGCCCGACGGTGCAGACTTTGTACACCTCGACCAAGACCCCCGAGTACCCGTTCGTCTTCCCCGACAAGCATTTCCCGACGGGCGGTAGCAAATTCTCCATCACAGAATACAAACCGCCATTCCACGGTTATCAGCATTCAGAGAAGCCGATCAGCGAAGAACAAGACGACATCCCTTTCGGCCACGACGACCGTCCCAAATTCCCTGTCTACACACACCACGGATTAGCGCCCTTCGACGAACACAAAAAGCACCTAGAACCCAAGTGAGTATGCAAAAAAATACATAAATAACTTTCCTGATATCAAAACAAAACTTATAGATAAATTTAATTGAAAGAAACGCCATTTAAAGATATTTATTCAAACCCTAAATTTTAAAGACCAGATGTAATTAGCCCTTCTTCTGATTCCATAGTAATCCAGGTCTTGACATTTCAGAATAACGTTTATTAACTACTTAAAATTTAAAAAGCCAAAGTCCGACACCCCCTAACTCAGGTGGGAAGAAGAAAAAAGTTTAATAAAACTTTGACCCATTCGTCTCTATTTTTTCAACCAACCCCTGCCGCATTCAAAACACAGTTTCTAACTCACAACTGGGCACTGGCCAACGACCACTGACTAACAAGCAATTACTAACTTTATTGTGTGGTTAACTATCCGGTAGCACCGGCCTTGTGCAAAACATCCCCAGAGGGGTTCACTTGGGATTTTCCTCCCCGTGGCGGCTACCTCTTGACTTCAGAATTTTGCGTTTCTTGAACTTTTTCTTTGGATGGGATTCTCGAGAATCCAAAGGATAAAATGTGTCGTTTTAAATTTTATATCCTCATTCCAATTGTTCCATACAGTTAATACAATTACACAACTAATTAGCTATAGAAAAAATAGCTTTTTTCCAGCGCATATAGTTTTACCACACCAAGTACTTTTTAGAAGAAGAACCGAGTCGATTGCGCTGAGGTAAAGAACTCGGAAAGTACAAAAAGCCAATCGATAACCAGTGACTAGTGACTAACTGCTCTTTTCGTATCACCGTTTTTTTGCAACCCCTTTCCTCAGTGGGCTTCACTTGTGGCTTTATCCCCTCCCTCTCTGGCTTCATAATTTTGCGTTTCTTGAGCTTTTTCTTTGGTGGGGATTCTTCAGCGTCCGAAGAAGATACGAAAAGGTGTCCCCTAGACTTTTCACATTCTTAAGTTAATTGTTAATAAATTGATTTATAATTTCAACTTCACCAAAGTAATGATTTAAAATGATTTATAATTTTTATGTGAAGTGTGGTTGAGATCAAAAATTACGGTCACGAGCGGGTCTCGAACCTACCACCTTCGGTTTAATACCATTCAATTTAAATCATTACTTTGGTTAAATAGGACCAACTAAAAAATACGTTTAAACGTGAAATCGTTAAGGTAGAAGTCGGTTCAATCCCCTTGGGTTTCAGCCCGGATGCGGGGCTGTCTTCGGGTCGGGCTCTCTAAACGCGTTGGGCATTTAGTCCCCGGGATGTGGGGGGGGATGTGGACTTTTCCATAGGACAATGCGTCATATTTTGTAAATGGTTTTTATCCACATCCTCCTGAAACACCCGTTTTATGAAGAACAGTAGCCTTTTAAATTGTGTAAAACTGTGGACGAGAGCCTCCCCGGGGATGGCTTTCTGCGGCCGGCAGAGATCCCCTCCTCGTAGGACGGCTATTAGCTTCCCGAGCGCTTGATCTGTATTTATTCTGCAGTATTTATTGCAGTTAGTTGATAGTTAATCATTGCATCTGTTACTTGTTATTAATTTATTAGTTTGTGTCTTCAAATTGTTAGTTTTGTCAAAATGTAATTTGTTATTTGGTAGGTCTGCACCTTTATTTATTCATGTTGTTGTTATCCTTTGCTGTTGTTGTTTTCGTACCGAAATTTTTTATTCTTATTAATATATCTTTATTCTTTTATTATTATTATCAATCTTTATTGCTCTCGTTACTTGTTATTTATTTATTGCTTTATGAATTTCTAGTCATGCTAAAAAATGGAATTTGATACTTCATAGGTCTGTACTCTTGCTGAATGTTCCAAAACAAAGCAAAAAAAAAAAATACGTGGGTTAATTTTTATGTCAATAACATTTGCACATACAATAAATCTTGACTACTTTGTATGCATGAATGAAGCTATATTTTAATTAGTCATGGGGTTAAAGGGAATGATATTCACGAACGACACAGTTTCGCTATGGTGTTTAAACTACATCAAACCTTTAAGCTTACAAGCAGAGACCGGATTTTTATGCAGTAAAGATTGCCAAAATATGCCATAAAATATGTAGTTGAAAGCCCTGAAATATGCAATAATATACAGTATTAATACGTTAACTATGCAATGATATGCAATAAACCAGTGTTTTACCATCAGAGTAACTTTAAACAGAAATATAGATAATTAAACGAAATAGATATTAAAACTCTTTAAAACTAAAAATAATTAAAATTCAAAAGTCCCCTCCAAATCACGAGGTTACTTGAACCCTCGGGGTGCCGGTGTTTTTGAAAAAAAAGCCCATTTGTATGTATGTCGGTTTCGAATGCCGGGCCGATGGATTCGAACCCGGGACCTTTATCTTACAGTGATGAACGCCGTGTCAACGCTATATCGTTGCGGCCACCGACGCCCCCTAGAGTTTATTTACATTTAACAAAAATATATACATTTTCTCATTTACATAAATAATATATTTTATACTAATTGAGTATAATTAATGTTAAGTAACTAAAGTACTTCTCTAAATTGTCTTCTGTGAAATTGTACTTTAAATTGTACGGTCACTTAAAATTTATGAGAATATTGAATATTGAAAATAAGGCCTAAGAAGAGGTTTTCTATTCTTATGTCGGTATTGCTAGAATGTTCTCGTCCCGTCGTTGCGGCCTGTTTCAGTTTTTTCAAAATAAACCAACGTTTCGTCAACTTGTTATTATTTTTTTAGATTTTTGTTATGCTTCCTCCGAAAACCGATACAATATTTGAAATATTTTGCGCGATAAATACGATTTTACATAAAAATCCTTCAAATATGCAATTTTATGCGATATTCATAAATATGCTCTATAAAATTTAACCTACAGCTTCCTAGACACATGATTCGGATATAATTGATTTCCTCGGACGTATATGGTGGCAAACTAAATATGCAACTGCATAAAAATCCGGTCTCTATTTACAAATTTTGAAGTTAGAATTTTTGTTGTTCCAATCACGTCATAGATATTCTATTTGATAGATTAAGATGAGAATGAAGTCGTTTGAAGGAAAAAGACTTCATCTGGTATGATTTGATTTCTGGTAAGTCAGAACTTGCTTCGGGCACGGATTGACGATGTGTTAGCATATTTCGACGGTGAATCATAAAAATGTTGGTAAAACGGCAACAGCCGCTGCGGGGTGATATTGCTTATGCGCGCCTGAGAAACGTCGTGCATTTTCGGCTGGAAGCCCCCTCCTCGAGAGGACGGTCACTTTTCATTTCTTTCGACTCCGAGTAAACCCTGGAAGGGGGAGAAAGTTTCCGAGAGATGAGGGGTGCCGGGCCCCTGGCATATTTGTAAAGAAAGTTTTCGAATTGATAGGAGACAGGAAGCGGTATGGTCCCTCCTCTTATCCTCTAATTACACCCTCCATTTAATAAACACTGCTCAGTCGAAAGAGAGTTTTTTCTCTTATGTCACATTTACTGTTTCTGCCACTTTAATTAAGCTTTTATTTGATTGAATATTGAAACAACGGTATTTTAATTTAACTCGGAACAAAGTCGTAAAGTAACAAAAATGGATGTACTATCAAAATGAAGATTTCCTTTTGATCGTAAAACTGTTCAAAGGTAGTAAAATTGAAGAATATATGACCTAACAATTGACTCAAAGTTCAGGGCTGTTTCCTACAGCGTCATTTAATTGTTTACTTGTTCGTACTTAGCATACACCAGTGTTGGATCCAAAACATCTGCTAGTCAGAAATGTAGTTCTATGATAGTCCGCAGAAGATCTGATCCTGTCGGGGTGTACCACCATTTTTTCTTGCAAGGACATCAGTCTCTTCATATCCCTCAACACCTGCAAGCTTTGGTTAAGTCTTATGTTTTGAATACCAGATTGAATTATTTGGTTTTGCAATAATCGAATTGAATTATCTGATCACCTTTTGGCTCACTACCTTATAGTTCTCTTTTCAGATTGAATTGAGTACATCTTGGTCTTCAACGTAAAGATATCTTAGGATCTTACATAACTTGGGCACCCCGTTAATAAAACTCCCAACCAAACTTCCCCTAACGATTACCAACCCATATCAATCCTATCTAGCCTGTCCAAACCCATTGAAAAGTTAGTTCAATGTCATATCACCAATTGTCTAGAAAATTTCAATCTTCTTAATCCGGCTTCCGATATTATTTCTCCACCCAATCTGACTTAGTTAAAATTACTAGCAACCTACCGCAATGAACCAACAAAAACTTACTGTACTAATTCTCCTAGACTGTACCAAAGCATTTGATTCCATCGATCCTTCTTCAGTCCTATCCATACTTGAATACTTTTCCTTTTCCAACTGTACCATCCGATGGGGGGCACTATTTTCTTACCTGCTGCTTTCAAGCAGTAACCATTCGTAATGGTAGGAGCAGTAACATATCCTCCTTTCTTCCCTTAACTTCAGGTGTTCCTCAAGCTCTAGCATTTTCCCTCTTGTGTTTAGCATTTACATCAATGATCTTCCTGACTCTATTCAGCACTGAGATTAACACCTGTGCCGATGACTCTCAAATTTATAAGTTCTTCCATCCTTCCGATCTACATTTGGCTATCCGCAGAATTCAGGAAGATCTGAATTTCATAAACAAAGGGGCACATAAAAACAACCTAGAATTAAATGCTAGGAAGTGCAGAGCTATTGTTATAGGGTCCACCTCCTCAAATCTTTCCTCATCCCTCCTTTCACCATCAACAACTAGCCTATTTCCTTCTTCTCCACGATAAAAACTTCGGGGTTACCTTCGACCAAAACCTTTGGAAACCACACATCTCTGCTGTATTGCATTCCTCATTCAATTCCGTCCTTCCTGGCTCCTTCTACATTTCCCCACTCCTTATCTCTTCCCTCATCTTTTCCATCTTCGACTGCATCCGCCTATTGTGGACTTTCAGGAGAACAAGAAAACCATCTGAAAAGTCTAATGAACTGCCAGACTGCGTTCAGAACTATCCTGGCTTAATCCCTCATATTTCCATAAATTCTTTTTATTGATATTATTGTTTCTCTTTTTATCTTTTGTATTATGTGCTTTATGCCAATTAATTTCACTATGTATTATCGTCAAACCTCCGTTAATTCAAGTGCCAGATTTATAACAAATTTTGTTACTTCTTACTGTTATTCTTAGGAGACTTAGTCTTCTGGGATCTTAGTTCCAGAATAAAGTATTCTCTCTCTCGCTCTCAGAATATTCAGCAAAAGTGTTGAAGTTTATTCTACCCCCTTTTTAAAATCTACAGACATGTGTTTATTAATGCAGATATTTCTCAGATTGAGTCTGTAGAGACCTCATGAAAGGTAGCTGTCTAATGCGTTCTGTAATTGTTTCGAATTTCTTGAGCCCAGTACCCTCCTCTCGACATAGAGTCTATTTTATTATAAATTCTCTGATAATCCGCAGAAGGGTTCAGATCCCGTCGAGGGTGTTGTACCTCTTTTTCATGCCAGGACATCTGCCTTAGGAGGATCTTCATATCCCACCACTTCTTCATATTCTGGGATGAAGGTGCTTTTGGCCTTTGTTTTATTGATTTGGTTTTGCAACGTAAACCATCTCAACTGTTACGATGATCTTTTGACTATTTGACACAACAGCAATGGCTGCATTTTTGTATTCTCTATTCACATTGAATTGGGCGGTGGTAAATTGCATGGTCTTCAGATTAGTACCTGATTTTCGGGCCGTTCCAAACCTAATGGCACTCCTGCGGACTGTTCCTTTTTTTGACAAGGATTTCCCCCATTCCCACTTCCATTTGCAGGAAAGGCTGGTCTGGAAATTGGTTTTAAATAATTATGGTAAATAATATTTGGTGTGTAATGTGTTTCAAGTAGAGTTCTAAAAAGGAGTAGTTCAAAGAATCAAATTTACGATCTGTTTTTAATTTTTATTACCTTGTAAAACTGTTCAGTTTTTAATTGTACTAGTTAGTTACTAGCTTAGTTTTTACTATTGTGTTGTAAAAATGAAAGTGTTTTGAAAAAAATGTTTTATCAAGCGTTTCCGGCGAGGCTTTCCCTCGCGTACCTTCATTCCTGGTCTGGGCACGGCGTTCCTCCTCGATTTTCACCGTGCTTCCTGTTAGAAAAGAAGAACTCGATTAATTTACAAAAGGTACTTGACACCATGACTTAAATTTTAGTGGCAGGACAAATTAATTATTTTCTCAACGGAAAGCACGCCTCGCAATATATTGGGATGTCAGAATTAATTGAAAGTTAGCAGATTCGCCAAGAACCTGTTTCTCGAATTGTACTGATATTTTCCATATAATTTGGTTTGAAATTTTGTTAAACGTGGTCGATTATAATAGATTCTTATTTTGGAAGTTTTATTAACCGTTTATTGCCCAAAGGTACCTCATGGCAACACCAAATTTGCTAAAGGGTAGTCCCGCGAATTTAGGGCGGTTCCTGTTCTGTTTCTGCCCTTGTATTGGCAACATTGATTTATTTGGCGCCAAGCTAATCTCACGTGATTTCCCTCTAACCTTTAGCATTATTGGTTGCTGAAGTTGCTGAAGCAACGTTGGGCCATAAAGTGTTAATGGTATAACTAATAAGCCAGATAAAAGTTTCATACCCATATAAATTTAGAAGTATTATACAGGGAAATTGTTCATTGATTTGGGCATTTTTTTGAGATAGGGTTAAATCCAAATATTAATTGCTCGTGTTTAATACCGTTTAATAGCCAAGCAGCCAATGCTTGAAAAAAATCACACCAAAATCAGTCAGTGAATGCATCCAAAATCTCCAAAACCTGGGGAAATACAACAACCTGATGATATCTTGGGTGCCAGGGCACAGGGGAATTTTGGTTAAAGAGAAAGCAGATAGTTTGGCCAGAGGAGGATCTCCAAGACCATACATAGGCCCCCGAAACTTGGGATAACAAGAACAAATATAGAATGCTCCATCGCAGAATGGATCCAAAATAAACAAAAGGAGAAGTGGAAAAACTGTAGCGGTACTAGACATAGTAAACTTATGATGAAACAACCCTCACCAAGACTGGCAAAATCATTGCTGCAATTGGAGAGGGCCCAACTCGGAGGAGTGGTAGAACTACTAACCGGTCACTGGCATGTGAGAAAACATCTACACAACATGGGTATATACAACGATGATCCCATTTGCAGATTATATAGTGAGGAGGAGGAAACAACTACCCATATCATCTCCGTATGCGAAGCAACAGCTTAATGGAGATTTAACCTAACATATGGAAATAACTTCAGCGAAAGTCAATGACCTGATACTTCTAAGGAGAAGGATTGAGTCTATTGCACTGAACTAAGGAATTAGGAAGGTAAAATAAGCCAAAAGGCTGCAGTGCTTGGGGAGCACAAACCCCACTTCCTAGTATTCTTTTTCACCATACCATACCATACTGTAATACCGTTTATAAAACATTGAGTCATAGAACACTTAGGATATAAATAAAAATGCAAGCTTCTCTTAGGATTACTATACCAAGGAACAACATTCTTTGTACTCGATTTAAAGTTAGTTTATAGTTCTCGGTTTAGAAGCTCTCTCTTATAGCTAAGGTCTTTGAACCATTGCTTGCTAACATCCTTACTCCATCCGTCAGATCAGTAATTATTAGCCAACTGAATCGATTTATTAGAGGCCGCTTCACAACTACTAACCTAGTGCAGGGATCCATTTTGGAGACTTTAGGGAATGGATTTCAAGTTGACTCATTTTATTCAGACATGTCTAAAGCTTTTGACCATGTCGATCATACAATTTTACCTTAGCCTTTGAGCTGACAAACTCTCTTCTCAGCTGATTGACTTCTTTTCTCAATGGTAGATGGTTCTCAGTACTTTTCTATGGGGCTACCTTAGAAACAATCGAAATTCTCTGTATTTCACGGGGATTTTATTTCTGATGTTTTTCAATGATGTTGCGTTTGCTTTTAAGTTAACTACGTTTCTGCTGTTGGCTGATGGCATCAAAATGTTTAAAGCAATTCTTGACCCTGCTGTCTCTCTTTAAGAGCATATAGAATCCTTCGCAGATTGGTTTTCCGAGGATCTTTCTCTTCAAAAAAATTCATTCGTATTTGCCTTCCAATACGCCATCAACAATATCAACGATGAGCGTGTTGATGTTATAGATGCGTCACATTTAGCTCCGAATGCAAATTTAAGATTCATATCTATATAATTATGAAAAGCCTCCTTAAATCAGATGCCCAGGGGATCGCCGCATTCCGACCAACGTGGTTAGGATTCAACGGAAGCTGACTACAATTGAGTCATTTCACCCTCCATCGCATCTAGCCTAAAATGAACTACCTTCTACAATACTTATTTGGACATCGTGAGATGTGGTCTGGTGTGACGTAGGTTCAGAAAAACATTTTCTTTATCGTGTCAATGTTTCGAACTTTATTGAGATCATCTTCAGGGCTCAAATTGTTTGTTTTCTGTGTCATTACTGGGTGTTGTATTGAGATTGCCCTTCACACGACACCCAATCATGACACATCTACACAGAAAACAAACACTTTAAGCCCTGAAGATGATCTCAATGAAGTTCGAAACATTGGCAAGATAAAGAAAATATTTTTCTAAACCTACGTCACACCCGACCGCATCTCACTATCTCCAAATAATCATTAACTAACGGTCACTGAACACCACACTTCTAAATACCGTCACACAAATAAATACATTCATACATTGCACTCATTCCGATAATCGTCGGCGTATTTGATATTCCTCCGCCGATCTACACGCAATATCAATAATCTAATCTAAATTAGGGTCGATAGAGTAATTTTATAAATATTTCGCCATCGACCCTAAACACACCCTCCCACCATGGAGCGACGATGGTGACGCTATATTTCATCAACAGCAACAGCCCCTCTCCACTCACACTAATAAATACGTCCATTCAACTTTAAAAAAATGAGACAAATCTATATACAATTCAAAAAGCCCATGTCCTCCATAGAAACTCGCTAATGTGCCCGAGAACCCTTTTTAAATCCGGTGGCATGCCTTCACGCTCTTTGTAAGGAGCCAAGGCATGACAAGCTTCTATTACGTGGGACACATCGTGCAACCTTCTTTGCATAATAGGTACTTGCGCGTGCTTTGGCCCAGAAGTGACTGTAAGGAATAAAATAAACCTTTTCTTGGGATGCATTAAAGTTTAATTAGTCGAGTTTAATTACTGCACCGTAGAAATCCAGAGAAAGTTATTAATTCTTGAAGTTAATAATTAATGTTACTTTATTATTTTTAATTTATAGAATTGTATTGATTAACGCGCATTTTTCTATTTATAGAAATAACAAATGGAAGAGTGTGTTGAAACTCTTGGCGACTGTGATACCCTTTGGACTTCTTGTCGCTGCCTTCAGCCCGAGCATCCTCGTCGTCAACGCAACCGAGTAAGTTTCTTTTGTCTAATTTATAATTTTTTTATCTTGATGTACCTGGTCGAATTTGGATTCTATTTTTGCTGCCCTGACAGACAATATCAGGGATACTATACATTCCCAGATGTCATAATTGAATTGACTTTACTGGTTACTTTACAAAACTTCAATTGTTTTTAGTAATTTTAACTGAAACTCATTTGTAACAATGACTTCTATTAACGATATTATTGCAAACAGTGAGAATCTCAATAGCCGATTATCGTGGTTTATGATTCATTGGAAGGAAAATGAAGTGGCCGAAAACTAGTTACATTTGGGAAGAAAGGAGTAGATTAAACGCCAAAAAAAATTTGCAATTTAACGAGGAGAAATGCAAAGTTGTGTAAGGCGTCCTTGAGGGTCGACAACAGGATGTCTGTCCTTTTCCTTTTTAGCCTGATTTCCAAACGGAGTAGCGTCGCGATTATTTTTACACCAATTAGGTCGTTTACTCGTGCAAAACACAATCGAAGTTGTGAAGAGCACTGTGCTTTCTACCATGAGTCGTAAGTGTTGATGAACAATTTAATTAGTTTTGTTATAAAAAAGAAACTGACTTTTTTATTACCTGTGGTGAAGGGTAATAAAATTTGACACCTAGCTTAATAAAACCTCGATTTCTTCCTATCTCAAGATCATTTTACGACATAGGAGAAATTTTTCTAAGATAGTTTTATTGTTCTAAGAGTTCAAATTTATATTTAATTGAAGATTTGACCTCAATGATAGTTCAGAATTAAATTCTTGAAATGTTTGTCTTTTACTTTATCAACTTATAACGCTCACATAAACTATTTTACACTACAAAATTTAATACGTTAATCAATCTTTATTTATTGATTTTCATTCTTGTCTATTACTAATGTGAACATTGGTTACTTTGGTTCGGTATTTCGATGGAAAAAATGTTCAGTTTAAGTTTTTGGACTTACAAAGAGTAAGTCGCAAGCCAGAAGATCAAAAGGGAACTGGTATGGTCGCGCATTCTTCGACCCTCTCAACGAGCATGAATCCTTAATTAAACTGCTCAAAGTTGCGTACATTCACCGATATCGTAAAGGAGTTACTTATGATCTAAACAGAGGAACAAGGTCTTGATAGCTACAGATGGTTTAAGTTCCCTACACTAAGTTGAAGAATCGGAACTTAAACTCATCAGATAACCCCCTGTTGTTGAAATCCCAGAGAAAATAAATTCAATTGAACAGGTGGGTGTTGATTGATTTAGGGTTAGATTAGATAAAATGGCAAAAGAAACTTCTCTACGTGATAAAAGTTCGTTGTTTACCTTCTATTGTACTGAACTTTTAAAAAATTAATTAAATTTAAAAGGAAGTTCCTTAAATTCATACGGGACTTGCTGGGTTTAGGGGTACCCAAGTGAGCATACCGTACGATTTGTAACATTTTTTAAATATTTTTTCGTTAAAATATACATAGTGAAGTATACCTGTGTTTTGTATTCAGAATAGTTATGCGAGTGCATAATGTGAAATGCCTCAAACATGTTAAAAATAGACAAATATTATTCCGACTCTCTATTTCACTATATAGGTATCTGGTAATTCGGCTTAAGAAAAAAATTTATTACAATTAATTAAGATTTTTAGTTGAGATGAAAAACCTTAATTAATTGTAATGATTTAATTGGTCAAGCGGACTACAAAATTAGTGAATTTAAAAAAATTTATTTAATTATTTTATTTTATTGGCTAGTGTATCCGCCCAGTTTTTGGGAGAAATTGAACATAATAAATATAATTAAAAAACCAACAGAATCGTAGAACTTACAAAGTCCCCTCTTTAAGAGGTGCAACTTGTCATAGGAAATAGCGATTTATCAGGAGTAACATAGCTTTTTCCCGTCAAATTAACCATTCTATAAAGCATTAAAAAAACTTTAAAAAATTTATGGACATGGTGTGAAAAATAAGTATGTTAAGTAAAATTTCTGTAAACAGTGTGTCCTTTTTAGATGCCCCGGCTGAATTTGTCTTGAACCAATGACGCTATCAAAAAACAAAAAATAGTGTTTACTATATTTTAGTCTAGTTTTAAATTTTTACCTTGTTTGGAGAAAAATTATACAGGGTACCTCAGGCCCAGTTCAACTTAAAAATCTCAAATACCATCCTATACATCCTGACACGTTATTTTAAACGATTGTTTACGCTGAAAACGGATTTTAAATTGGTCAAAGAATGACAAAGTTATGGCAAAAAGTAGCGGTATAGTCAGGAGAGTTGGATTGACAAGCATTTTTCACTACTTTGCCGGAGTTCTTCAACTGAGGTTGCTGGGTTATAATTGGTGTAGGCACTGTTTTTTATATGGACCCACAAAAAATGTAAAGTCGAGTTAACTTGGGTGACCGAGGAGGCCAACAGACCGGGCCAAGAGGTCCTATCCACCTATCACGGAAGTGACGGTTCAAATAACGTCTTACCTGCGAATAATTGCCTGCGGGGCATCCATCAAGCTGGAGAATCATTCTTTGTCTTTGTTGCAGAGGAACTTAATCTAGTGTTGGTAAAATCTCCCTTCAAAAATTGAGGAACTGAGTACCTTTAAATTATTTTCGTTGAAATAAGGCCCAATAAATTTATTTCCGAGAAGTCCACCCAAACGTTGATCCTGTCAACCACTTGATGATGACAAGAGTACTAAATTTGCGGATTTTCCTATGCCCTCGTTCAAAATTCCAACGGTTTAGTGTGCCGTTAGAGGTGAACGTGGATTCATCAGTCCATAGGATGTAAGGAAGAACGTTTTCTTCACTCTCCTAAATTGACATTTGTGCGAAAAACGTTAGAATAGATTTCGTTTGTTTCGTTGTTAATTCCAATAATTTGCTTCTTCACTAAAGTAAACATTAATTGCCTTTATTCTTTATTTAATTAAGGATTTTGGTCGAGAATAAAAAATTCAATGTCACGAGCGGGATTCGAACCCACCACCTGAGCTGTCGTGACTTCGATCCACTCAAACACTACATAACTTCCCATCTCAACCCCACCTTTTGAATTTTCCTTCCTTTTTGACATCTTTCAAATGTCGTGTAATCAATTCGATTCTCGGCGACAAATGAAATGGCCACGGAGAGCTTTTAGTGAACGCATACTTCATTTTAAACTTATTCAATTCACTAACCTCGTGGTCCGCTTGACCAATTAATATCTTTCAATTAATTAAATTTTTTAGTTGAGATAAAAACTTTAATTAATTGAAAGATATTAATTGGTCAAGCGGACCATGAAAACTAGTGAATTTATTCTTTATATTCAATCATTTTTTTGTCAAACTCGCATAATGAAATCAAATCTTAATTCGTGGAAGAAAATAAATTTTACAATAGTACCTATTCTTTAATTTCAGTATTCTAATCAAAAAGAACTAAAGAGCGAATTTTTTCCGATCAACATCGATTTGATATGTACAACTGTTTTACTATTGGGTTGTCCGGAAAATAATGCAGGATTTTAAGTTTTCATTAAAAAAAATCTATATAAAATATTCTGTTTACGTTTACAGGATTACTCATTTGTATGNATTATTTTGATTAAAGAACATTGCTTTAAAGTAACTAGTTTCTTTTTTTTTGTTTAATACCAAAATCCTGCATTATTTTCCGGACAACCCAATATATTACCACCTCTATAGTGTTGCGCGTCTAGTTGTACTCCCAGAAATTTCCTGATTGCCCCAGAGTAAACCCAGAAACGTTTATTCGGGTTGCTCGCAATATGAGGTGATACGGGTCGGTTGCTGTTCCATCACAAGAAACCGGCAGCGTAATTTTAACAAGGAGCTGAATATTTTACTGTCTGTTCGCGAAAATCAGAATTCTTCTCTCCGAAATGTTGGAAGGGTTTTAGGTTTTTGGAAAAAGAAAATTAGAGATGTATTCCTGACTTACAATGTTAAGTCTCTCATCTTGTTAGGGACTTTAGGGCTCTGATTATGACAGGCGTCTAACGTTCCTTGCATAAATGTCGATTTGAGAGGCTGAAGAAAACGTTCTTCCTTACATCCTATGGACTGATGAATCCACGTTCACCTCTAATGGCACACTAAACCGTTGAAATTTTCGATGTAGAGGAAAATCCGAGAATTTCCTACTCTTGTCATCATCAGGTGGTTAACAGTATCAACGTTTGGTGTGGACTTCTCGGAAATAAATTAATCGGGCCTCATTTCTACGAACATGGTTTAAATGGTGCTCAGTTCCTCAATTTTTTAAGGGATGTTTTACCAACACTATTAGATGATGTTCCTCGGCAACAACGACAAAGAATAATTATCCAGTTTTATGGATGCCCCACACACAATTCTTTGCTGGTGAGACGTTATTTGAATCGCCACTTCAGAGATAGGTGGATAGGACCTCTTGGCCCGATCTGTTGGCCTCCTCGGTCATCCGATTTAACTCCACTTTACTATTTTTGTGGGTCTATATAAAACAGTGTCTTCACCAATCATTACCCGGCAACCTCAGTTGAAGAACTGTGCCGGAGGATGGAAAAATGCTTGTCAATCCATCTCCCCTGACTCAAATCTTTGCATCTTTCCGCTAAGGCAGACAATTCGAACACGAAATGTGATTAATAAATAGCAAACAAAATGACTGATTTTTTCAAACTTTTTGTCATAACTTGGTCTTTTTGGACCAATTTAAAATCCGATTGCACTATTGTTTTCAGCGTAAACAATCGTTTAAAATATCATGTTAGGATGTATATTGATCGTATTTGAAATTTTGAAGATGCACTGGATCTGAGACTCTGTATAATTTTTCTCTAAAAAAGGGTAAAAATTTGAAACTTTTTTTTGATAGCGTCATTGCTTCAAGTGAAATTCAGCCAGGCCATTTAAAAAGGACACCCTGCATTTGCGATTTCAAAACAATAATTTATTAGGGCCAGTTGATAATAAAAATTGATGGTTTTTTATTAATTCTAGATTTTTAAAAA